GTTTTGGTCTTATTTTCAGACTTACTATTTACAAATGTTGGAGAAGTCAAGTTGGAAAATTCGAAAACATAGACGAAAACCAACCAAATGACAAAGTAAAACCTATAGCAAGCTCTTTTATTCATCATTTCTTAGTCTTTATTCTTAATATCTTCTCTCACTTGGTTGAGAAGCTTAGCCATGGGAGAGATTTGAAAATTGTGCAAAGCGGAGATGAAAGAATGAAGAAAATGGTGGAAAAGAAGATGTTACATATATATAGATGAAAGAAAGTCTATAATGTTGTGAGGTGCATGATGCATAGGACGACACCCAATGAGGGAAGACTTTAACCAATATGTGTGTATATTGTAGAAAATAAAGACTTGAAGAAGGAGGAAACATAGACGCTATTTTTTCTTGTGACATTCTTATTGAATAAAGAAGACATAAATAAATAAGTTACGAGGGTGAGACAATTCCGTAAAGGAATCTCTCTTAAAGGAAAAAATAAAAATAAATCAAGAAGATTTGGCAATTAGGAATTCAATCTTCTTGTAAAAGAAAAAGAATAATTAAGAAATAAAAAACTCTCATAATAAAAACTCCTAAAAAACAAGATACACTAGCTAATACATAACAAGAAAACAAAACAACCAAATAAATACAGTCAACGGTTTGATTTTCAACACTCACCCTCAAGTCGATGTATAAATGTTGATCATACCAAATTTCTTTACAAAGTCTTCGAAGTTGGCTCGAGCAAGAGCTTTTATGAGAATATCTATAATTTGACCAGTTGTCAGAGTGTAGCTAACCTTGAAAATTCCTTCCTCAATTTTTTCTTTAATAACATGCCAGTCTATCTCCACATGCCTAGTTCGATCATGATGAACTGGATTATTGGCTATACTGATGGCGGCTTGATCATCACAATATAATTCCATAGGATGCTTCAAGTTGACTTTTAATTCTAACAATGATCTTTGTAACCAAATTCTTTTACAAATTCCCTATGCCATAGCTCGGAATTCTGCTTTACACTACTACGGGCTATAACTGATTGCTTCTTGCTTCTCCAAGTCACCAAGTTTCCCCACACATAAGAACAATATCTAGAAGTTGATCATCAATCTGTAATGGATCCTACCCAATCTGCATTTGAATAAACTTCTATATTTCTCTTAGAAGTTCTTAAAAATAATAGACCCTTTACCCAGAGTCATCTTGAGAAACTTTAGAATTCTATATACAACAGTCATATGTCTCTCAGTCGGGCAATTCATGAACTGGCTGACTACACTAACAAAGAAACCGATGTCAGGTCTAGTGTGGGAGAGATAGATGAATTTTCCCACAAGGCATTGATACCGTCCCTTGTCAACAGGAGCACTCCCATCATTAACTTCAAGCTTGACTGTTTGATCCATAGGGGTCTTGGCATGTTTACAACCAAGAATTCCCGTTTCACTCAACAAATCCAAAACATACTTACGTTGGGAGACAGAGATACCTTTCCTTGACCAATCAATTTCCATCCCAAGGAAGTACTTGAGGTTCCCTAGGTCCTTGATCTCAAATTCTTTATCCAAGAATTGTTTGAGAAGTCTAATTTCTTCCTCATGGTCACTTGTCAGAATGATGTCATACATATAAACAATAATAATGGCCATCTTCCCTTTCGGAAAGTGTTTCACAAACAAAGTATGGTCAGATTGACACTGGGAATATCCATAACCTTTTACTGCTTTAGTAAATCTTTCAAACCATGCTCGCAGAGATTGCTTGAGTCCATACAAGGATTTTCGAAGTCTACAAACTTTGTTGGAGTTAGATGATGTCTCAAGCCTGTCAGGAATAGCCACATAAACTTCTTCCTCTAGATCACCATTGAGGAAGGCATTTTTTCACATCCAGTTGGTGCAAATACTAATTAAGGTTAGCTGCCAAGGATAAAAGTAAACGAACAATGTTGAGCTTGGCAACTAGAGCAAAAGTTTTCTGATAGTCAATGCCATAGGATTAGGTGTATCCTTTGGCGAAACAAGCTTTATACCTATCCACATTACCATTCTGCCTTATATTTCACTATAAAGATCCAGTTACACTGAACAGTATTCTTACTTCTTGGAAGATCAGTAATTTCCCAAGTTTCGTTCTTTCTTAGTGCTTGAATCTCTTCATTAATGACAACCTTCCACTTAAGACATTCTAAAGCTTCCTGAATATTGTGAGGAACCTGAATCTCTGTAAGACCACTAGTGAAGGCACAAAAAGAAGGTGACAAACCATCATATGAAATAAAGTTTCCAATGGGATGTTGAGGGCATAACCAAACCCCTTTTCTCCAAGCTATTGGCATATTTAGGATCTCATTTTCTAACTCAGAATCAACAAAACCATCCTAGTTAAAACTATTACCTGGAATTTCAAGAGGATTAGGACTTGGTTTAGCTTATGCTTTTGTTGAGGAAGTGTTTTTTCCTCTGTTTCCTCTTGGATGTGCTCTATATCCTGCAAATGAACAATGAACTCGAAGTTTTCAATAGGTAAAGGTTGACTAAATGACTTTAGAGGAATGTGATTTTCTGGGGTGATGGGTGACTCTAAGATTGACTCAAAGTCCCAAAATCGGTATTCTTGAGTTGAGTTCTCCCCCTGAATATCAGTTTTGGGGAAGTATGGTTGATTCTCAAAAAAGGTGACGTCCATTAAATTGTAGAATTTTCTTGTGACAGGAGAGTAACACTTGTATCCTTTTTGATTTGTTGAATACCCAAGGAAGATGTCCTTGAGTGACCTAGGATCAAGTTTACTTCTTTGTTGTTGATGGATATGGACAAAGACTAAGCACCCAAAAACTTTAGGTGGAACAATGAAAATGAGACGAGTAGTCGAAAAATATTTTAGAAGGGTTTGACATGGTGTTTGAAATTTTGGCACCCTAGACGGCATCCTATTGATAAGATATGCTGCCGTAAGAGGAAGAATTTAGGTATATTTGTGGAGAACATTAGCAACCTAGCTACCTTCAACAAATGTCTATCTTTCCTTTCAGCAACTCTGTTTTGTTGCAGAGTGTCTACATAAGAACTTAAGTGAACTATCCCTTCTTTTGATAGGAATTCCTCTAGTAAGACGTTGAAGTAATCCCCAGCATTGTTAGACTTTAGGATTTTGAATTGTGACTAGAATTGGGTGTGAATCATATTTTTGAAATTTTTAAATATTTTTATTTGTCTTTCATAAGAAACACCCAAGTTAATATGGTATGATCATCTATGAATGAGACAAACCACCTAGCACCCATTACATTTTTTATTTTTGACGGACCCTAGATATCACTGTGAATCATAGAGAATGGTCTAGATGCTTTATAAGGTTGAATAGGAAAATAAGATCGGACATGCTTGGATAATTGACAGATTTCACACTCAAGAGATTTTGGATTTTTATTTATTAAATAACGAAGGAAATAAACGTTTGAGGTACATAAAATTGGGATGACCTAAACGATAGAGCCATAACGTAATAGTACTATCATTATTTTGACGAAATACTGAAAATGAACTAACGCTAACTGTCGTTTGAGGTTGTTCTTGTGAAAAGGAAGCACTCCTTAAAGATATAGAGTCCAAAGCACTCCTCAACATTGCCAATCGTCTTCCTCAAATCCAAGTCTTGAAATTCACATTGAGTGGAGAAAAAATTAGTAACACACCTCCTTTCCTTGATAAGTTTACTAATTGACAACAAATTGCAGTCCAAGTTAGGAACAAAAAGAACAGAATTGAGTGTAATATCCTTTGATAACACAACTAAACTTGTACCAGTAACCTTTGATAATGAACCATCTGCTATTCTAACTGTTAAATTACTTGGACATGAGCTAAATGTATTAAAAACTGTTGTATCCCCGCTCATATGATCATATGCTCCTGAGTCCACAATCCATGGTTTGTTTTGTTTCTTATACATAGAAAAAACGCTCATAGAATTACCTTTGTAAGCCAAGGTTCCAGAATCAATGACATGATTTGAAAACGAACTGGTTTGTGATTGAGTATACAGAAGAGGAGACAATAATTTTTGAAGCATCTCCATTTGTTCCTTATTAAAAGGACTTACTTCAGGTGATGGTGGCTCCTTTGTGGAGGTGTGATTTCCTCGACCTTCTTTCTCTATCTAACGTGCTGGCTTCCAATCAGATGGCTTCCCATGTAATTTCCAGCATGTTTCCCTCAAATGTCCTGGTTTTCTACAATGATCACACCAAGACTTTCCTCATTTATTTTTCTGACGATTATCTAAAGGGGCAAACTGAGTTCCCTTAGTGAAAAATGTAGAGTTTTCGACTACATTCGGATGTTGAGGTGACCCCATTATGACTTTCTTTCTACTTTCTTCTCGTCGGACTTCAAAGAAAGCTTCTCTGAGACTAGGTGATGTCTTTGCTCCCATTAGTCTCCCACAGACCTCATCAAGATTTTTATTCAAACCTAGCAAAAACTTATAAACAAGTTTTTTTTCTATAATCTTTTTGTACAATAATCCATCAGTAGTACATGACCAATTATGAACCTCATACATATCAAGTTGATGCCAGTTGCGAGTAAGAATATTAAAATATTGAGTTACCATAAGATCTCTTGTCACAGATCATGAAGAATCTCTTCAATCTCTGCCACCTTTGAAGTGTTATTGATGTCGAAGTAAGTCTCCTTAGCTGCATCCCAGATCTCTTTAGTAGTTTTGAACACCGAAAAATTCTCGCCAATGTCCATATTCATTGGGTTGACAAGCCATGACATCACCATGTTGTTTTCTGCCAACCACTTCTTGTAGGTAGGAGTCGTTGGTTCTGGGGCTACAGAATCACCCGTGAGGCAGTCGTATCTTTCCCCTAAATAAACATTAAGAGGGATTGAGACCATGGAACATAATTCTGTCCATTTAATTTATGAGAGGTAATAAGAACATGGGTGGCTTCCATATTGTGAACAAAAGGAAATGAAGGAACGATGATGCCCGAAGAAGTTGAGGAAGAATTACTTTTAGTAACCATACTGGAGGCTGGTCCATATTTGGGTATGAAGATTTGGAAGACTCAAAGATAACAAGTGGGACAAGCTCGATGATGATGAAGATTAAAGCGACGGGATTAAAATTGCTCTAATACCATGTAGAAAATAAACACTTGAAGAAGGAGGAAACATATACTCTATTTCTTCTTGTGATATTCTTATTGAATAAAGAAGACATAAATAAATAGGTTACAAAAGTGAGACAATTCCGAAAAGGAATCTCTCTGAAAGGAAAAAATAAAAATAAATTAAGAAAATTTGATAATTAGGAATTCAATCTTCTTATAAAAAGAAAAGAATAATTAAGAAATAAAAAACTCATAAAAAAACAAAATACATTAGCTAATACATAACAAGAAAACAAAACAACCAAATAAACACAATCAACAGGTTGACTTTCAACATATATATATATATATAGTGTGTGTGTGTGTGTGTGTGTGTGTGAAAACAAAAAATTATGATTGAGTGAAAAGATCTGATAAAGCTTAACCTGGTAGAGAATTAGTCTCATAATAGAGTTTCAATAAAAAAGAAATCCTAACTAGGGTAGACTTATAGATTTTGTGTGTGTGTGTGAAAACAAAGGCCCAAAGGCTTATAAAAGTTATAATTGAGTGAAAAGATCGGATAAAGCTTAATCGGGTAGAATTAGTCTCATAATACAATTTCAATAAAAAAGAAATCCTAAATAGGGTAAAGTAACTTACAGATTTTTTGTTTAAGATTTCAGCTCAACTATAGATATGTGTCTTGGAATTGGAATACCGAATACATTCATTCACAAACTCTCTTTTGGTTAGCTTTCATGGAAAAATATCAAATAGAAGATGAAAGTGGTTATGAAAAATATCTATTTTAACATAATATAATAGAACTAATTATAGAAAATATCCTTATGAATATGAAAAATATCATTCAATTTAGGAACTAGATGTTTCACTACTTACCAGGGATAAAACTGCCATCTAACCGGCTGTAAGAATTGCTTAATCTTCACCATTTTTTCCCTCGTTTAGCTTGATGGTTAGCCTTATGGTTTGATTATTTTGTATTTGATAGTATGTAAAATAAAAATAGTCTAAATCTTCTTTTTCTCCAGTTTGTGATGTTGGCTCGTAACCCTCTGTCTTTTGCCATGTTTGTGTGGATGATGAATATTAATCCCATTGGGTATTCCATACTGGTGTCTCTTACATTATTAATCAACCTAGTACTTGTCAAGACGCAATGGGATGACAACTTCAAATGTTTCCAAGCGGTAATCTTTCGTTTCGCTTTGTGTATTTTATTTATATTGCTTTAGGTTTGTATATGTAGTGCACATCCCTTTTTGATTTATTTCAACTCTTTTTTGTTTTTGCCACTGCCATTGTTCATCTTCAACATTCACAGATGATCTTGTTTAATTTATAAGATAAGGATCCGAAGAAACGGCTCAAGATCGAGGATATGAAGAGTAATCAGACATGTTTTTAAAATTTGATTTGATATGATATTTTTTATGATGGGTAATTCTAACTTAAGCTTTTTTTCTTTTTTCTTTTTTTTTCCTTTTTTATGTGTGATGTGAAGATTTTGTATGTAATTAAGGAGATAACATGGCGATGGATGGTTGCTGTCTTGCTATCTTTTGTGCCAGCGGTTGGATTTACTCATATAATAACTCATCTATGGAAGCCTGGGGAGGATAGTTTTTTTTTTTTCAGAGGTTGAGGAGGATAGTTTTTTTAAACTTAAGAAGGGTTGCATTCTACTAGTAATGTGGATTGCTTTAATTCACGGAATTGGTGCATCAGGTTTGGTACGAAGCCTTCCTCTTAGGTTGATTTCTTTTGATGTTAAAAGGTGATGAGGAGCAAAGGAGGTTGAAACCTAAATCATTTTTTGTTAGGGTTAGGGTTTCCATAACATTAATTATGTTTTTCTTTTCAAGAACAATCAATTATCTCATTCTTTTCTTTTCAATTAGTTCAAATGAATTAATCTAAAACTAGTAGTCTTTTTTTTATGTTCCTTTTTTTTTTCTTTTTTGTAAGAAAAAAAGTTTATGAATATTGTTTCTTTTCTTTTGTAGTCTTTAGAATGAATATATTGGAAGCCATTAATTAAGTTCAATAAATTGCGAGTTGCACTGTTCTCCGTCCATTAACAAATTTTTGTTTTGATTTGAGACATTATTTCTTTATAGTAACGACTAATAATATTCAGATCTCATTAAATTGTGTTGTGAAGATTTTTTATGTGAGTAATGAGATATTTTTAATATTTCTTATCAAAACTTCATTTCATTTTTTTTTTTTTTTTTTTTTTTTTTTTTTTGCTTTTTTAGTTTTCAAAAATTATATTTTTGTAAAATTAGTATTTATTTATATAAAAAAAATCATATTTTTAATGCGTTCACTACAAACTATAGGTTTATGAGATCACCTTTTTTTTTTTTTTTTTTTACAATTAAGTGTGGCAACAACACACCCATTTATATACATATACATATCACAATGTTGAACAATTGTAAATATGTAGTATAGTTTCAATTTTCTTAAATTTTTTTTTTTCTAATTATAGAATTATGTATGTAATTATCTCTCTTTTTCATCGAAATTTATATTATCATATGTATAATTGTTACATATATATTTGACAACAATATCAAAAATAGTCTTCTAAGGTAATTACTACTAAAACGATTCAATATTGAGAACCTAAATTTAGAAAAGTTTAATTAGTTTAGAGTTTGCAACAAACAAAGTTTCAATTGACAACAATACACGAACCAAAATCACATAAACCCTCCATAAAAAGCAAAATCCCCTGTACTCTCGCATTACCTTGCATGCATTACCTCTACGTCCAGAAGCCAAAGCTAACCACAAAAAAAGAATCTCAATTTCTCTTAACCATTGGTTCTCACCCTTGCAAGACTGGCTCAATCGATCAACAATGGTTAGAGCCGTGTTCTTCCTCTTGACCTTCTCTGTGATTCTGGTCTCTATAGACAGCGCAACCGTGGACATCGGGATGAATTGGGGCAACATCGCCTCCCACCCGTTATCGCCGTCCATCGTGGTGCAGATGTTGAAGGATAACGGTCTCAAAAGGGTGAAGCTCTTCGATGCCGACGGCTACACAGTGAAAGCCCTAGCGAATACTGGGATTGAAGTCATGCTTGCAATTCCTAATTTAGACCTTCAAGCAATGGCCGATGATTATCAAAATGCAAAGGATTGGGTGAAAGACAACGTCACTCAACATCTCAAAACAAATTCTGTCAATATCAAGTTAGTAAAATTAAATTTATTTATCTACTTAATTAATTTGTTTAAATTTGATTAATTTTGGTGTATATTTGATGGATTTTCGTTCTTATTTATTCATTTTTTTGAATACCCATTAATCTTAAAAGCTTAATTCAATGAAAAATAGTATATAAATTATGTTTATGTTAATCTAAGTTACTTCTTTGAATTTTCACGTAGATATATAGCTGTTGGAAATGAACCCTTCTTGAAATCATACAACGGTACCTTCGTGAAACCCACACTGCCCGCCCTAAAAAATGTTCAGAAAGCTTTAAACGAGGCTGGCTATGGCAAAACCATCAAAGCATCAGTGCCTCTAAACGGCGACGTTTACGAATCGACCTCGAACTTGCCCTCCGATGGCGCTTTTCGTAAGGATGTAAAGGATATCATGCAGCAACTTGTGAATTTTCTCAGTGATAACGACGCCCCTTTCATTGTCAACATCTACCCTTTCCTTAGTCTCTACGAAAACCCCGATTTCCCCACCGAGTTCGCTTTCTTCGGCAACGGTAAAACCGTCAACGACAAACAAAATTCCTACACAAACGTCCTCGACGCAAACTACGACACCTTGCTTTGGGCTCTCAAGAAAGTCGGGGTTCCGAACTTGAAGATCATCATCGGGGAAATCGGCTGGCCGACGGACGGAAACTCATTTGCAACCAACAAAAACGCGCAGAAATTTTACGACGGTTTGTTCAAGAAGCTGGGGAGCGGCAAAGGCACCCCAATACGACCAGACACCAAATTCGACATTTATCTTTTCGGCCTGCTCGATGAGGACGCGAAGAGCATCGCGCCAGGGGACTTCGAAAGGCACTGGGGGATTTTCCGTTTCGACGGGCAGCCAAAGTTTCCGATAGACTTCACGGGGAAGGGGCAAAACAAGATGCCAGTGGGGGCAAAGAATGTGAAGTATTTGGACCAACAGTGGTGCGTTTTCGATAGAGGGGTGAGGGACATGTCGCTGGTGCCTAAGCAAATGGAGGAGGCGTGTAAGGAAGGCGACTGCACGAGCATCGGCAAGGGCGGATCGTGCAGCGGCAACGATAATCTAACGAAGGTGTCGCAGGCGTTCAACATGTACTATCAAATCAAAAATCAAAAAGAGGAGGCTTGTGATTTCAATGGATTAGCGGTTGTCGTGAAGAAGAATCCGAGCAACGGGACATGTTTTTTCCCCATTCAGATCGAGAGCGGCGGCTTCAAGGTGGTCTTCGGATCGTTTGCCACCGTTTTCGCCGGAGTTTTGTATGCATTCTTAACATTATTCTAAACAGTTATGACAACTAACAAATAACACACGTCAAGATCACTAAAGCATAGGCATAGCATCATGGTACGATATGTTAAAATATTTGTTTATTATTCTTTTTACTGTTTTGTAAATAAAATATATGGTAATAATCATAAGTTTTGATGTTCAGTGATCTTAAGTGAAGGGATTACGTAGAATGTTTTAAGTTTGATTATTTATTTGTATATTTTTGTGAGTTAATATTTGTTTGTGTCTTTCAATGACCCAAATAAATTTGTCTTCAATTCTAAGAGTGATTGCAAGCCTATATTATGTATAATGGAAGATATATATATATTTCCGATTATTTCCAATCTATGTACCCGTGGTTATTTATAGTTATTGTTACATACATTCTTTAAAATTCAAAAACTACTATAAAAAAAAAACTATTTCTATTAATTTATCTCGCTAGATTGGTAGGTTGGTAATTATTGATCATTGCAATTACAAATTTGCCCGTAGACTTATTGTTAATTTCTATAGGTTTACCAATATAGTAGATGTCACTCGCTACTATCGGCAATAGGAGGTTAACTCTCACTCCGTTATATTTTCCGGTTAACTTTAACAAGAAAGAAGTTTTTTATGTCATTTTATAAAGGGCAATAATGACTTTTCAACTTCATGTCTGTACGATCCCGCTAAGCGGCAAGCCAATCTGGCTAGAGACTATTTTAATAATTTTTTCTTATTATTTGTTTTTTCATCTATAAAATTTAAGTTATGTGTTAGTAAGTAGTTGAGATTTGGTTGTGGAAAAAAATTTGAGATGAAAGTGTTGAATATTTGGTGATGAAGATTTTTATTTGAAAGAAAATTAAAAAGAATTAATGAAAAGAGAAAATTTTAGGGTGAATGTGAAAAGTGAGTTGGGGTGAAAAGAGACTTTTTATAAATTTGGTTACATGTGTCTAAAATTAATTAGTTCAGGGTAATCTTATTATATTTTAGTGAAAGGGTAACAAAATCTTTTTAATATTTTACACATTGTTATTAACACGATCGGGGTTATCCTCCTATTTTTCATAATTGCGGGTGGCATTCTGAAAATGTATATGGGGGTTACTAAATATCTCTTTCTACAAAAACATTTATTTTTGCAAAAAAAAAAAAAAAAAATTAAAAAGAACAATATTTTATTTTTTTGATTTTTTTTCTATTTGATGTTGTAAGATTTTTATTAAATACCCATTTTTGCCCTTGTTTCCATCAAACCTTAACAAAGACAAAACTAACGGAAGAGGGTGTTCACAGTAGTTTCTCAACTTTATAGGATCAGATATGTTTTTTAAAACTTTAGAGGTGTAAGTGATAATAACCTCAAACAAAACCCAACAGTTTCTTCTATCTTCTTTCTTCCCTCGACATTTCCAACTTCACTTCTCCTAACGGCACTCTCTCAGTCT